TCAAGTCATCGTTGATGGCCAAGTACCTCACAGCTATGAATGCACCACAATTAGAAATCAACTCAAATGCACCCTTTATAGTTACATGACAGAATTTATCCTTTTTTGCCATAATGACAAAAAAATCTCTGAAATACAGATCAACATGAATAAAGAAAATTCAAAAAGAAAACATGTTCCACTTCATTAAACACCAGAATGACTAACAATGCACAGTGAGTCCATTTAAAGGCTTTCTTCTATACTTGGATGGAGCAAAATGGCCAAAAGGAAGGCAGCAGAAAAGGTAAAAAGGAAAACCAGAATCACTACTCCCACAAATAGTCCAAAATTTCATCATGAGACAAAGTAATTCTAAAAGACGAAACAAAGATACTTCCTGAATCTGGAAGTATCAATCTCCAGATCAACACTAGAGACAAACACCTGAACTGAACTGCGTAGTTATTAGACTATTGCTAAACTCCATACAGTGAACAGACCACAGGGAGGGAGCAGGGCAACAGGGCTGGAAACACATACGAGGATGACCTTAAGAGTCCACAATCCAGAAGAAAAAGAGCAGCTGTGAACAAAAATGCAGAGAACTGCTCAGGGCCGCGCTCCCTACCAAGGACTTCCAGGGCCACAGTTCAGAGAAGGAAGCAACTGCAGGATCTGGACAGGTGGGAAAGAGAAAAAGTATGAAGCTGGGGAAGGCGATAAGGCGGGGCCTCAGGGGGTGGGAAAGACACCTAACTGTAAGGGAGTAAAAAACCAACCAGACTTGTAAGTAGGTGGAATATCAGGGTAACTGGAGAGAAAGACAGGAGAAAACGGCTAAGCCTGAAAGCAAGAAAAGAATGTGGACATGAATAATTAACTAGAAAAAAAGGCACTAAAAGTTCTGAAACAGAAGAATACCACAATAATGATGAATTTTAATGAGGGTGCATATTATTTATAACAAGATATGTATAAAATGCATAAAATGGGAGAGAGAACTTGCAGAAAGTCCAGTTTAATTAAAAAAAAAAAACCTTATCAACAATCCATGTATAAGGTAATACAAGTTAGGGCACTGAGAACAGAAAAGGTAAAACCAAGGGTCATGTTGAAAGAAAAATTACAGGATTTTTGTGAGAAATAAATAAAAAAGTCAAAATAGAGAAGGATCAAGTATTATTTGCAAGTTTCCAGCTTAGGGAACTGATAAGCAGATTAGCAATAGATCAAAAGAAATAAGATAGCTGAAAACAGAAATCAATACTCTTGAGTAAAAGTCGTTTTTTTTTTCCATAAATATCAAATGTATTTAAATATGAGATCAAAAAGTAAATCTTTCATTTTCCAATATTCCACGAAGTCTTCAAGATACTGGATGAATAGAATTTTTTCTGGTTCAAAGTACATAAAAATTAAATCATCAGAAGAGTTCTCAGTTCCACTTCCAAAGAAAGGCTGACAGGACACATTAAAAGCATCTGATGAGGCTTTTCTATTATCCTAAGTAGTTCTGGGGAAAAATTATCTTTAAAAGGTAATGAAACTGAAAGATCAGTGGTAAAATTTCTGAATAAAAATTGAGATTTTATCATAATCATAATAAAAGTTTCCACCTACTCCATTTAGTCATCAAAACTGTGATTTTTAAATACAGAAATACCTACAATGACACTTAGCAGTGATTCCATCTTCTCCCAAGAACAGGGTACAGTCAGCTGACAAAAATGAAAGGCAGAAGCCATGGCTAACACAGCCCAGTAACAGACAGAAGCATCAAGTGGAAACACAAGTAAAGCGTTACACTAAACTATTCTCTCACCTTTGCTGAATTATCTTAAAGACCTGTCTACGGCCAAGTTGCTCCAAAACACTGAGGTAAATAATGAGATAGAGTGCTAAATGTGCTGAAAGAAAATCCATCCAAAGTTGGTTTTGAAATCTGGCCTATAATTTTTCTTCATACTCTGTGTGTTTTTGGAATCAAGGTAATGCTAGCCTTATACAATGAGTTGGAAGAAATAATTCCATTGTTTCTGTTCTCTGAATTGGTGAAAGGTCAGCATTATCTACGCCTTGAAGGTTTGGCAGAACTCACTTTAGAAACTACCATGTGACTCCCCTGATAGTCCAGTGGTTAAGGACCTGCCAGCGGTGCTAGGGACAGGGGTCCACTCCTGGTCTGGGAAGATTCCCACATGCCACGGAGCAACCTGGCCTGTGCACCCCACCACTGAGTCTCAGCACCAGAGCCTGCACTCGGCAACAGAAGGCCAACAGCCTGCAGCCAGAGAGGACCACCCCCCCGCCTGCTGCACCTGGAGAGGAGTCCGCCTGCTGCACCTGGAGAGGAGCCCCCCTCCCCCGCCTGCTGCACCTGGAGAGGAACCCGCCCCCCCCCACCTGCTGCACCTGGAGAGGAGCCCCCCTCCCCCGCCTGCTGCACCTGGAGAGGAACCCGCCTGCTGCACCTGGAGAGAAGTCCGCCTGCTGTACCTGGAGAGGAGTCTGCCTGCTGCACCTGGAGAGGAACCCGCCCCCCCCCCACCTGCTGCACCTGGAGAGGAGCCCCCCTCCCCCACCTGCTGCACCTGGAGAGGAACCCGCCCCCCCCCACCTGCTACACCTGGAGAGGAGCCCCCCCTCCCCCACCTGCTGCACCTGGAGAGGAGTCCCCCCCCTCCCCCACCTGCTGCACCTGGAGAGGAGTCTGCCTGCTGCACCTGGAGAGGAACCCGCCCCCCCCCACCTGCTGCACCTGGAGAGGAGCCCCCCTCCCCCACCTGCTGCACCTGGAGAGGAGCCCACCTGCTGCACCTGGAGAGGAGCCCCCCCTTCCCCACCTGCTGCACCTGGAGAGGAGTCTGCCTGCTGCACCTGGAGAGGACCCCCCCTTCCCCGTCGCTGCACCTGGAGAGAGCAGCTAAGACCCAGAGCAGTCACTACATAGAAGTGAACAAACAAACAAAGACTGTACCAAACGTTTTCCTAGAAGGAAGATTTTTACTCACTGACCAGTTTAAGGATTAAAGGACTATTCAGGCTTTCTATTCTTTTTTCAATCAATTTGGTGTTTTACACATTTCAAGATTCATGTGAATGTAAAAATTGGAGAAACACTACCTCAGACCACTAAATTCCTATCACTTCCCAAATTATGTGCCATTTTTGTCCAATGTTTTGGTTTTCTGGTTGTTAACCCCACAAATTAAGACATTTTAACTATGGTTTTACACAGTCAACATTGTTTAGATCTTTATTCACCAACAGTTTTTGCATCTCAGAATCTCTCCTGAGATCACTTTCCTTCTCCCTAAAATTGTATCTTTTAGTGAGGATGCATTGGTGGAAAACACGCTCAGCTTTCTTAAGCCTGAAAATGTCTATTTTGCCCGTACTTCTGCAAAATAGCTTTGCTGGGAATCCAATTCTAAATTGACAGTTGTTTCTCTGGGGATTGTTTGGACATTCTTCCACACGGCTATGGTGTTCATGTGGTTGCTGCTGAAGAGCCGTTTGTTCATCTATTCGTTGTTTCTCCAAAAGTAAGTCTTCTCTCCCTGGCAGTTTTTAGGGTGTCTCTCTGTCTCTGGTGTTCATCAGTTTCTCTCAGGGATCTATGTAAGAATTCCTTTTTAGTAATACTTGTCTGAGATTATGTTTCCTAAATTTACAAATTCATATATTTAATCAATCCTAGAAAATGCTCAGCTATTTTCTCTTTGGATATTTACCTCTCCCCACTCTATTTGCTCCTTCTGGGATTCTGATTAGATAAATTTACATGCTGACAAGACTAGCCATGTAATTAGCAGGTTCAGTGCAAAATGAAAATGTGGGGCACCTTGTTCACAAATTATTTAGAATCTCAGAAGGGTGAAAGTAGAGCATGAAATCAAACATGAGGCTCTTCTAGTGTCGGGATCTCTGCACCTGCACAAGTCACATGCCCGTGAGGCCCTAGCTTCAGATAAGCAAGGACAGTGATAGTACAAATCCTGAAGGCAGAAGGAAGTAGAAATCAGAAAACCAAGAAACATCTCCCACCCAGGCACAGCCAATCATTTTAATGCACAGATCAGAAATTTTTCTATATATTTACATGTAGATATTTAGTCACAATTTTTATATTATGGAAATGGTATATTATACATTCTCTTCTATAGTCTTTTTTCAAATTTACTATATTATGGAGAGCTTTCAAAAACTTTAGTAAATACAGATCACTTCAATCCTATTGTACAGATAAATGCAGGTACATGGTCATTTAAGCAAATTCATAGTTAGGTTTCTGAAGCATCTTGAGTTTTTCATTTTTAAAAGTGATGAGCATGGGCTATCAATAAAGTTGAGTGTGGACTGAGTAAATCAATCAGTATAAACCACATTCCACAGAGCACTTGGCAAGTAACAAAGTCTCCATAAATGTTAGTGGCTTTATAAAATATTATGTCTTGTATAAAAACTGAACCCATGTACACTCCCAACAGCAGGGTAAGAGAGATTTGTGGTTTTGATCCTTACCAAATCTTTTAAATTTGCCTTTTGTATCTCTTCTCTTTTTCACTGTAGTTTCTACTATAAAGGGGCTCAGGCACACGTACACACACGTCCCCTCTTCCTGGAGTCCCTTCCCCTGTAGGTCGCCGCGGAGCACCGAGTAGACTCCCCCAGCTACACAGCAGGTCCTCAGGAGTTACCTGTTTCACACACAGCACCAATGGGATACAAAGGGACACACCTGTCCACGCATCTCACCACGCCCGCTTTCCCCCTCTGGCATCCATACCTTTGTTCTCTACATCTCAGTCTCTATTTCTGTTTTGCAAATAAGATCATCGATACCATGTATTTCTTCTATGAACGCTCTGCTCACATTCTCTGACAGTTCTCCTAATGGATTCCTTATTGTTTCAAAATTTTAATGACTTCTGTGTTGGGGATTTCAATCCTTTGTCATAGGGATATCAAGTGCTTTATTTTTCCTCTTAAAAAAAAATAATTAACTTAAGACTTACCTCCAGTTCCTAAGACCTTTAAGAGCTCAAAATTTTCAATCCCCACCTTCTCTGCATGTCCGGTTAAATTAGCTAAAAAAAGAAAGAGAAAAAATAAACAATTAAGGGGATGAGTAACAGGAGACAGTCCACAGGGCTTCTGATGTACGCAGGGCTTTATTTCTTGGAACGTTAAATAAGGCTTCATTTGATCACTATTTATTAAACAGTACAGCTATGCTTCATGTAATTTTCTGTATCTCATATATTACAACGTTTTTTTAGAATTTTGTTACTATATATCATTTGTATTGAAGGTCAACCATAAAAATAAAGTGCTATAGGACTCTCTACTGACCAAATAAACTGAAAATGAACACAAATTCTAATATGTAGACAGATATGCACGAAGAAAACCAGACAGATTCAGAAGATGTATTCATTTATTCAACAAATATTTACCAACTATAAAAGCCACTCCAAGGCCCCAGGCTGTACGCCCCACCCACTTCTGCCACCAAGCCCACGACCAGCCAGCACTGGCACCTGACCACGCTGAGTCCCAGCGCCCTCGACTCTGACGTGAAAGCGCTGATCTCAGTGAATTCTGAGAGCTCTACCAATCTAAAATTCTAGAACTATGCCTAAAAACATAAACTCTTCAAAAACACATTCTGGAATAAACAAAATGAGGATATCTTATAATGAGTATTTTCCAGTGTACCCCACTGAATTCTGGTCCCACTCTACGAGTTGTTGAGAAGTGTGATGTTGGGGGAAGGTGGGGAGGAGTGCTCAGGCTGAATGAATCTGGAAACAGTTAGCTTAAAGTTTCACAAGTTTCCTTAATGCTGAACTTCACAGACACTACACCATGGAAATATGCATGTGGATCTTCAAGACTGAGATACTTACATCTGTCAAATTTATTGGACCACAAGTTACTTTTTATGGTAATACCTATCCATACTGCGTGAACCAGCAGATTAGAAAGACATGATTTAAAAAGACATAGTTCAAATCCTAGTTTTACCGTTTAAAAGCTCTGTAATCTTAAATTACTTTTCTGTTTCAGATCCCTCTAGTGTAAAATGGGGATAATAAAAAATGCCTGCCCTCAAAACATACTAGTGCCCGCAATTTACATTGAAATGTATTTTTAAAAAGATGGATTGATGGGAGAATACAGGTATGATAGATACATGATAAAGAAGGGCTTCCCAGTGGCTCAGTGGCAAAGAATTCACCTGCAATGCAGGAGATGCAGGTTTGAGTACCACTCCAGTATTCTTGCCTCGGAATCCCATGGACCGAGGAGCCTGGTGGGATACAGTCCAAGGGGTCGCAAAGAATCAGACATGACTGAGCACACACATACGTGATAAAGAAGGCACAAAAATGCTAATTGCAGAACCTAGTGAGTAAAAGGATTTCAACATACAATTCTTTCAAATTCTCTGTATTATACTTGAAAATGCTCATAATAAAATGGCAAATGATAAACTAGTGCCTTGTGATGATTATGTGAGCATAATTCGCACAGTATTTGCTGTGTTCAGCTAAGACTATTAGTATTCGTAAATAAATTTATGCTTTGGGACTACTGGACTTCCCTGGTGGCTCAGCTGATAAAGAATTCGCCTGCAAAATGCGAGACCTGGGCTCAATCCCTGGGTTGAAGGTTCAATCCCCTGAAGAAGAGAAAGGCTACCCACTCCAGTATTCTGGCCTGGAGAATCCATGGACTACACAGTCCATGGGGTCACAAAGAGTTCGACACGACTGAACAACTTTCACTTTCACTTTGGGGACTATAATTTTTAAAAAAATTAGAATAAGAACTTTTAAATAGAATTAAAAGTTTCAGAGGGAAAAACAATTTCAGCATCTTTCCAAAATTTAACTAAATGCATTAACTTAAAAAAAATTTTAAATTGTGGTCACAATTAACCACAGAACAAAATTTGCCATCTTAACCATTTTTAAGCATACAACACAGTGCTATTGTGTTAACTCTAGGTACATGGTTCACAACCGAGCTCTAGAATTTTTTCACTGTGCAAAACAAACTTCATTTAACAATGACTCTTCCAGAAACCACCATCCCATCTCGGTTCCCAAGAGTTTGACTATTAACACATACGTTCATAGTGAGAGCAAATCAGCATACATGGCCCGTGCCTCAAGTTCACATGGGCTTCAGCATACGTGTGAAATGAACACCCAAAACACAGGTAGTATCTTAGAATCAACACAATAGCATACCCTCCTGCAGTCTGTCACGCAGACTATAGAAAAAGCAAACTCACAGGAAACCATCACTTCTGAAATAATGACTTAGCTCTAAATGAACATTAAAAGTTCTGTTATTTAGTGCTGTAATTGAATGTTAGGTTCTGTTATTTTATTCAAAAAATTCTGAAGTTTAAGACATTATTAAAGAGTCACATGTTAAAAGTTATTACTCCTGATTCTACTAGGCGTCATCTTTTATTTACAAGGAGACATGTAACGGCCCAGCTTTCCAAAAGCACTGTCCGTATGTTAGGGGGAGCACACCGACTGAAATCGCCCACCCTGCCAGGCACCAAAGTAACCATCTGCATCCTGGTAAGGAACACGGCACTGATAAGCCACCACCAACCGGAAGAGTGAGGGAAAGGTCAAAAGGAGACACCACATGTCTGACCACCTCCCAGAATCCTTCTCGCTGGCCTCCATCTTGGCTGAACAAGGCATGCACCACCAGAAAGGACTCTGAGTCAGTGATTGGCTAAAGGCAACCCGGAAACGAATCCCATCACCATAAAACCTGCGAGCCACATGGCAGAGCGGTCCTCCTGGGTCCCCTCACCCTGCTGCTCTCGGCCTGGGCGCCCCTTCCCAATAAAATCTCTTGCACGGTCAGCACATGTGTTTCCTCGGACAATTCATTTCTGAGTGTTAGACAAGAGCCCAGTTTTGGGCCCTGGAAGGGGTCCCCTTTTCTGCAAAACATATACTATTTCTCCCATATCTATATTTGCAGCTGGACTAAGGGAGATAAGGAACTACCCTTTGGTACACAGTCACTTCAGCCTTTCACTAACCACAGAACTTCTCTCATAGGAAATTAGAAGAGGCCATCAATTAATTACACTTGGTTCTACAAAGCATACCATCCAGGAAAGCCTGATCTTCCACAGAGATGATTCAGATGATCCGTGAAGGCCTGTTTTCATTCTAATCTACTCTCTCTGTTCTTTGGTTTCTGACACAGATTCACACTTTGCCTGCAAAGAGGGCTCAAGGCGTCCCCAACCTCCGATCCTGGGGAGGGGCAGTCACTGTGGTAAAGGCCCCCACGAGGAGGCGGCCAGCTCTGCTTTCCTCAGGGCGTGTTCTCGGCAGAACCTCCTCTCCTGGCCTCAGCTGCTGCCGAGTTTGTTTATTCTGTGTAACTGCTGAGCTAAGGTGGAATGGGAGAGGGTCTTCCCTCCCTCACACTTCAAGCCCCAGGAGCTAGAAAAACCCAACAATGCTGGCCTTGAAAAGCATTTAGCCCTAGGCTTATAACAACATGCTTTATCCACCTTAAGTTTCTCTGGGAATTTATCTTTCCTGGCGTTTCGTTAACTAAGAATGGTCAGATTCCAGTGAACAAGCTCAGAGGTAGTGCCTGCTTGAGAGAAGAGAGCCCCTGTGGCCCCGTGCAGCTCAGCCAGGTCAAGGACCCACTGTAAGTGACCAGAGAGCAAACTCGCCAGAACGCTGCACGCCGTCCTGTCGTAGCCTCCGCTGGGGCCCAAGCAGATGTAACTGCGATAGGGTTTCTTACCCAACGTCCACAGCTTACATTAGGTTCACTCTTGGTGTATGTTCATTCCATGGCTTTGGACAAATGTATCCACCACTGTAGTATGTAGTATCATTCAGAGTAGTTACTGTCCTAAAAATCCTCTGTGCAGGTTTCTGTGTAGACATCAGATTTCAACTCCTTTGGGTAAATATCAAAGAGTCCAACTGCTGGGTCATGCTGTAAGGGTACCTTCAAGTTTTCTTTTTTTTAAATTCATCTGAATTTGACTTTTTAAGCAGAATGTGACTTCCATTCACAATACTTGCTCTGAGTTACTTTTTCAAGGGCTTTAAAACATGTCTGGACAGGCTTATCATTATGCTACTCTAAACACTTTTCTTTGAAAGACAAGCCCTATGTACACACAACCCTGGTCATTCAGATGGTAAAGAATCTGCCTGCAATGCAGGAGACCTGGATTCGATCCCTGGGTCAGGAATATCCCCTGGAGAAGAGAATGGCAACATCCCCCCCCCCGCCCCCCAATATTCTTGCCTGGAGAATCCCGTGGACAGAGGAGTCTGGCAGACTACACCCCATGGGGTCACAAAGAGTCAGACATGACTGAGTGACTAACACTTTCACTTTGACATATGGACAGTGATGCCCATCAAGTTGGTTCAGTTTACCACACTTCATCTTTAGAGGCCTGGCACATACGGCCAGTAACTACAGGGGATGAAAGGTTTAAAGAGTAGATCGCAGAAGATGAAAAGCTGCTTTAATAAGTGTTTTTTTTTAACACCAAGGTATACACTTCAGAACACTTTAGTGACAAAAGACTTGGTTTATTAAAGAATCTGTTTTACAGCTAAACACTTCAGACCATGAGGCTAACACAGGTGACATATACCTTACGACACTGTAGGTACTTCCGTCTGTTAAAATGAGCCAACGTGAAACTAGAAAAGAACAAGCAGCTCCGTCAGCAATGCCACGGTCACCCAAGAAATGCCACCCTTGACAGGAGACGACATGCCCCATGGGGAAGAAGTATATTTCCTATTAAAAGGAATTACCAAACCTTCTTCCAAGGTTGCTGCATCAGCTCTGCATGCATACCAACAGCAAATGAGGGCTCCTGTTGCTTCACATCTTCACCAACATTTGGCTTTCTTGGTGTTCTGAGGTTTGGCCATTCTAATAGTTGTGCAATGATTATCTCTCTGTTGTTTTAATTGGCATTTCCTTGATGACACATAATGTGTGTCATATGCTTATTTTCATATGCTTATTTGCCATGGGTGTATTTTCA